TCTCTTATATAGTTCCACAGTAGTCCTTGTACAAGGCCACACACACACACACACACACACACACACAGACACACACACACATACACACACCCCTTTAGACTTTGATGCATCTCGTGAAGCAGAATGGTAGAATGAAAAAAACATTGGTTCTGGAGTAAGAGGACCAGGGATCAAACCCTGCTTCTGATACCCATATGACCTTGGACAATTCACATCCCCTTGGACTTCAGTTTTGTCATTTGTAATGTTAGGGGGTTACACTAAATTGGGCCTGCTGGAGGGAGAGAGAGACAGAGACAGAGACACAGAGACAGAGAGAGACAGAGAGGGACAGAGAGAGCCAGAGAGAGAGAGAGCGCACATAGAGACATTGACAGAGAAAGAAATGCAAAGAGAAACACACTGAGAGAAACACAGACAAGGAGAGCTAGTGAGAAATGGAGAGATGGACCAAGGGGAATACCCACCATACTAAAAGGGCATGAATGTCTTTGGAGTACAAATGGAGTATTCATCCTGTCCATTTATTTCTCATACCTGCTACATAACCATCCCATCTTCTTTCCAGAGCCTATACTGCTTCAATGATGTCTTTATCCCCCTTCTCCTATGCAAGTCATTGCTGATAGCATGCCATGACCTATTTATAGCTGCCATTTGTCTTTCCACTGCCCCACACTTTCATGCACATATGTGAGCTGATGGGTAAATAAAGGAAAGTGAGTCTGTGGCTTGGTGAATGAGGGAGAGAGACAGAGAAATAGAGACAGAGGAAGGGAAGAAGAGCTACAGGAGAGAGAGAGAAAGTAGGGAGGAGAGGGAGAGAGACAGAGACAGAGAGAAGGAAAAGGGAGTGGGGAAGAGAGAGACAAGGGGTAATTAAGGGAAATTGAACAAAGAAAACAAAAGATGCTAATGAATACATGTTAAATCCAATTATGAGGAATGGGGTTTGAAAAGAGAATCCTGTATTAAGAAGCTGTTTCTACTTTGTGTAGTAACAGTGTTTGTCAATCTCTTTTTATGATGAATTCTCCACAATTAACAATCCTCCCCTGAAGTCCTCTCCTGCTTCCTCATCATGGCATGTAGGTGGCCCTGGATTCTTGAAGTCTATGCTTTAAGATCTGACAGATCCTTCCAAGCCACTTGATGACCAAAAAAATGTCTGTCATCGGAGGACCAGCTTATATAAATTTAGGAGGGCTCATCACCAGCTAGGCAGCACTGGTGAATTTTTTTTTCTTTCATAGCAACTTGCAGAGACCAAATGCAAAGAGGGCTTCGGATATAGATCTGTATCTGTCCACAGATGAAGTCATGGATCCTTGCGGTTCTGAAGTGTTGGGCCTGACTTCTCTAACTCTCACTCAAAAGTTGGGTTCCCCAGGAATCAGAGATACTCTAATTAGGTTCAAGGTAATCTGTGAGTCCACACTCCTAGGCTATAGCCCCCAAGCTTCACTGACACATTTGTCTTCAGTAGTTAGCTAGAGGACAACTGGTTTAAAGGAAATATATTTATTTACTGAGATAGCATTGTAAGAATAGTAGATATAAAATATTTCACTCATAAACCTGGAACATGTTTGGTCATTTCAGTCACGTCTGATTATTCGTGACCGCATTTGAGGTTTTCTTGGCAAAGATACTGGAGTGGTTTGCCATTTCCTTCTCCAACTCATTTTACAGATGAGGAAACTGAGTTAAGTGACTTGCCCAGGGTCACAAAGCTAATTAGTATCTGAGATTAGATTTGAACTCAAGAAGATGAGTCTTCCTGACTTCAGGCCCAGCACTCTGTCCACTGAGCCACCTAGCTGCCCACAAAGCACTATTACTGATGGATAAAGGTGGAGAAGAGAAAGAAACCTCCTTCCACTGCTATACTCAGGAAGAGGTGCAAGGGGAAAGACCAAGGTACAACTGGGCTCTTCCTCCACAGTCAGTTCTCTTCTCAAATGCTGAGATAGCCCTGATTTCAGATCTTTCTTGTTTTATAAAAGCCACCAGGAAATAGCTAATTTCTGAGCCAGTGGCTAACTGACCCTGTAATTCCAATAAATTGATTGAGGAACTTCTTCACACCTCCTAAAAGAGTAAAGAAATATACACACATTTTTTAAATACTTCCTTTACTCTGGCCAATCAGAATCTGAGGGGGGTATCCCTTCTATAAGGTGCAAATGATCAACTTCAAAGTCTTCTCATCTGTTTCTGTTACCTATCCTTTTTATCTTCTAACCTCATCAAGTGGGCTGAGGAGAGAGAGACAGAGAGACAGAAAGAGAGAGAGAGAGACAAAGAGACAGAGAGAGACAGAGAGAGAGAGGGAGGAGAGAGGGAGATGCACAGAGACAGAGAGACAGAGAGGGACAGAGAGAGGTTCCCTACTCAACCCCCTGCTAAAAAGAATAATCCTGTGTAACCAAAGCTTCTCTGGGTACTGTCTGTCCATTTAACAGTCATTTGGTCACCTTCTGTTTTTGCAGAAAGAGGAAGAGAAAAGCTAAACTCTTCAGGTTGGGATTTTGGGGGTTTTGTGGCCATCAGTTATTAGTTTTTAACTCTTCTCTTCGCTGATGGACTCAGAATGCAGATTGAAAGCATTTTCCCCTTCCTTTATTTTCTTGCTTCCCTCTCACCCCTGAACGTGGTTAATGTGGGAATACGTTTTGTATGACTTCATATGTATAATGGATAGCATATTTCTTGCCTTCTCAGTGGGTAGAGGAGGAGGTGGAGGGAGGCAGAATTTGGAACCTGAGAATAAAAATAAATCTTTTTTGAAAGGAGGCAAAAAAACATCAACTTTCTTTTCCCCCCTCAATTTCATACTCTTCAGTCAGACCTTCCTACTGCAGCCTGTGGCTACAGCAGGTGTTAGGAGTGAGGAGGAGTTGTAAGGTATTTTGATCCCTCCCACCACCACTGATTCATCAGAGCAACAGGGTTCCTACACGTATTTCTTTTTACATCTATCATCCCTGTGCTCAGTGCCAGGGAATTTTAAGTAACAAAAGACAACAAAGATGTTAACAAATCAAGCAGAGCAGAAGAGAAGACTTAACTAACTTGCTACTGCTCTCCCCCTGCAGCCTTTGGAAAGTGGTTGGCTCTATATTTGTTTTGCTCAACTATATATTTTTTTTATAAGATAGACCTTCTATTTGGGGTGAGAGACAGTTGGCAGGTAGCTATAATAATAAAAAAAGAAGAAGAAGAAATGAGTGTCAAAGACACATTTTAAATACTCAGAAGTGAGCAGAAAGAAGTTCAGAGGGCGACACTGATAAGCAGGGCAGTTTTGTTGCTACTGTGTTAAATTTAATACAGGTGTGCCTCTGAGATATTGCAGGTTCGGTTCCAGACCACCACAATAATTTTTTGGTTTCCCAGTGTATATGAAAGTTATGTTTACACTATACTGTAGTTTATTAAGTTGGCAATAGTATTATATTTAAAAACAATATACATACCTTAATTAAAAAGTACTTTATTGCTAAGTAAAATGCTAACCATCATTTCAACCTTCTATGAGTTGTATTCTTTTTGCTGGTGGAAGGTCTTGCCTTGATGTCAACGGCTGCTACTCATCAGGTTACTGAAGGTTGGGGTGGCTATGGCAATTTCTTAAAATAAGATAACAACAAATTTTTCTGCATAGATTGACTTTTTCTTTCACTTAAACACTTCGAGGCCATCACAGAGTTATTAATTGGCCTAATTTTAATATTATTGTATCTCCAGGAATAGAGACGCTCAAGGGAGGGAGAGAAATAGACAACAGCCCCATGGATGGAGCAGTCAGAACACACACAATATTTATCTATTAAGTTCACCATCTTATATGGGCATGGTTTGTGGAGCCTCAAAACAATTATAGTAGTAACATCAAAGATCACTGATCATAGATCACCATAACAGATATAATAATAATGAAAAAGTTTGAAATATTGCTAGGATTACCAAAATGTGACACAGAGACATGATGTAAGTACATACTATTAGAAAAATGGCTCTGATAGACTTGTTTGATGCAGAATTACCCCAAACCTTCAACTTATAAAAAATGCATTATCTCTGAAATACAATAAAGCAAAGCACAATAAAACGAGGAATACCTGTACACACTTAAAAAAACCTAGATATAAATTCATAGTTGCACGTACCATTGTCCTTTCCGTTTTTCTTTAATGTTGAAATGCTCTTGTTTGTTGGTACTTGTTAATCTCAAAAGGAAAAGAAAATTCATATAAAAAAAGAAATTGGTTGGCTCATTGGGCAAGTTTTTTTTTTCGCCTTGAATCTTTCTTTGGTTTTAATTTGTTACACTGATTTAATATGTACTTGAGATAGGATTATAGAGTTTCTTTTAAGAATTGTTACTTATCAGTCAGTTCTAGATCCTAGACTTTTCAAAGTTTTGTGTGATTTAAAAATACCCATTATTTAGTACGAGGTCTTGGATGAATCTCTTTAATAGTTGCTTGCATTTCACTATTCGAGATGGTCTTTTGTGTAACTAGCATTTGATGGGAAGGAGTCAGGACAATAGATGTAAGCTGGGGTTACCCTCCCCCTTTAAGGAATGGTATCTTGGAAAGTGGCTTGAACCTAAAATAACTGTGCCTCTAGGCCATCAATGGGGGGCACACAGATATAATTCTAGTCTTACACCCCTCTTTTTAGAGGAGAGCCTTGTGGTTCTAGTTGCCTTTGCAGTTCTTTTTCCTGCACCCCTCAGGGCAGGAATCAGAATCTCACTTGGAGAGGGGTGACAAGATTTCAGAGATATGTATCGATGACTCCCCTCAAACTATCTGCCTATACATTTAGACATCACTGATTGTATGACCCCCTTGAGTCTCAGTTTCCTCATCTGTATAATGGGCCTAATATCACTTGCTCTACCTACCTCACAGGAATGTTGTAAACCTTTAAATGATATCAAAATGGATACTATTATAATTTCCATTCTTTCCTCTCTCCCCACCCAGGAGGAGGTCCAATGTCCTACATCTCTCTCTGTGGTTAAGGAAAAAAGCCTGCTTGAGAATACACAAGAAGATGAGTTCTGCCTCCCCGACGATCTCTCTTCTGATGAAGAATATGAAATTGAAGAAAGCAGAGCAACCCAGTTTAAAAAATCGGGAAAGAAGCAAATCGATAACATCAAAAAGGCCTTCTCTAAAGAAAACATGCAGAAGACAAGACAGAATTTTGACAAGAAAGTAGACAGAATTCGGACTAGAATTGTGACTCCTGAGAGGAGAGAAAGGATCAGGCAGTCGGGAGAAAGACTGAGGCAGTCGGGAGAGAGACTGAGGCAGTCGTCAGGAGAGAGACTGAAGCAGTCTGGTGAAAGATTTAAGAAAACAATTTCTAAAGCCACGCCGACAAAAGAAACTTTCAAAATGCATCTCCATAAGAAAGGCAAAGAAAGAACAACTGCGGAAGGCCAAGAAGGCACGCAGGACGTGGGCATGGATATCATTAGCAGCAGCGGGGCTGACGAGCCCCTCCACGAGCTCTACACGGAAATGTCAGCTGCGGCCGAGAGTGCGCAAGGCAGAGAAGGCTACCCTTCCCAAGCAGAAGAGGCCACCCAGATTCCTATGGAAAATGTAGTCCTGCAACCCCAAACAAAAAGAAGGAATGACGAGCCCCTTTTGCTGGATTTAAAACAATCAGCATAAAAGGGAACCAAACAGCCTTTGATTGGGCATCTGCTTCATCAAACAATTGTAACTAGAAAAGAGAGTGAGTTTTATTTTTAACATCATATAAAGATAGATAAATGCTATTATTTCATTTAGTGTATTCCAGGCTGTCAATTATGTTTTAATAAGTCAGGCAATATAAAAACCTCATTTTATCAGCATTTTTCCCCCTTCATTGAGGAATAAAACCCCAATGAGTGATGAAGCTTTTTTTGTTGCTGTTGTTCAAGTTATCGGATTTTGCTTTCTCCTTCACAAGTGTGGAAATAATCTCGGATCCCTTTTCTCTCTGTTGGGGGGGAGGGAAGGGTTTCACATTTGGTTATCTATTTGTTTGATGCAGAATTACCCCAAACCTTCAACTTATAAAAAATGCATTATCTCTGAAATACAATAAAACAAAGCACAATAAAACGAGGAATACCTGTACACACTTAAAAAAACCTAGATATAAATTCATAGTTGCACGTACCATTGTCCTTTCCGTTTTTCTTTAATGTTGAAATGCTCTTGAACATTTGGTTATCTAAAAGAAACAAAAGAAATTGTTTAATTGATGTGTTCCTATGCAAATGAACTCTTGACTTTTGGCCCATTAGTAACAGCAGGAAAGTTATTATAGTAGTATCAGATGCAACAACATTTATATAAATTTTGCTCTAAAATATGTCAGTTTACACACTCAAAATTCAACCATTTAAAATACTTGCATCAGTTACACGTATGATACTTTTGCTGCTGAACTGGAACAGCCTGGTAGCCCATGGGACATTGTTTCTCCTAATGCTGTAGGGGTACAGCTTAGCTGCAGGTTCCCCACCTCTGGTTAGAGCTTCTAGCAGATGCTTCTATCACCAGGTGACATTCAAATCTTGCTTTTCCGCCTCACTTCTTATTACAACTTTATAAAAAGTACAGCTTAGAAGCCTCTCCTTTCCCTCCTCGTGCTCTCCAAATTCTGAGTTCCTTCCTAGAGGTATGGAATATTCCAGTAATAATTCCTAACTTGCTGAGCTTGTGCCCCAACCCCCTTGGGTTGTACCCTACTATTTTCTTCTCTCCTCAGCATGGCCTTGAAGTAGTTGGCACACAGGCTGAAATACATTTACTACAGTGAAAGTGAGTGTGAAGTATAAAAGTAAGGCCTAAGGCAGCTGAACCCACTCACTTTTGGTAAGGTTCAATTTTCAATTGCCTGAATGCTTTTCTTCATCATGCCCCTTTGCTCTTGAAAGGAAGGTGGAGACAGAGGCATCAGCAGGCTTGTCAAGAAGTGCTATCAGTTGCGAAATGATCCCACCATTCTGGAGAGCAATTTGGAACCATGCCCAAAGGGCTATAAAACTATGCATACCCTTTGATCCAGCAATACCACCACTAGGTCTGTATCCCAAAGAGATCATAGATAAGGGGAAAGGACCACATATACAAAAATATTTATAACAACTCTTTTTGTGGTGGCCCAAAATTGGAAATTGAGGGAATGCCCAACAATTGGGAAATGGCTGAACAAGTTGTGGTATATGAATGTAACGGAATATTATTGTTCTTATAAGACATGATAAACAGGCAGATTCAGAAAACCTGAGAAGACTTACATGAACTGATACTGAGTGAAGTGAGCAGAACCAGGAGAACATTGAACACTGTAACAGCAACACTGTGCAATGACCCACTTGACAGACTTAGCTCTTCTCAGCAATGCAATGATCTAAGACAATTCCAAAAGTCTCATGATGGAAAATGCTATCCGCCTCCAGAGAAAGAACTATGGAGTCTGAATGCAGATCGAAGCATGCGCTTTTCTCTCTTGTAGTTTTTCCCTTTTGTTCGGATTCTTCTTTCACAACATGACTAATGTGGAAATATGTTTAATATGATTGTACATGTATAGCCTATATCAGATTGCATGCTGTCTTGGGGAGGGGGAGGGGAAAGAGGGAGAAAAAAATTAGAACTCAAAATCTTATAAAAGTGAATGTTGAAAACTAAAAAAAAAGTGCTATCAAGCATTCCTGGTCTAAAGTTAGGATAAAGGAAATCATCTCCCCACATACTCTAGCTTATCCAGTGTTTCACTGCTCTCTTAGAAACTACACTCAACTCCTAGCCACCTGCCAATGAATGTACTGCTCTACTAGGTACCTGAACAGGCTGTTAGATACATTGGAAGCCAGGAGTAACTCAACAAGCCATCCTAGCATCACCACCTAAGGCAAGTTTCCTTCTCTGCCTCTCTTCCCCTCTTTGTGTGGCCAATATGACCAGCAACCCAAAGACAAATCAATAGACTTGGTACTTCATGGGCTAGCCTGCTCTCCTCCCCTACACCCTAACGATACACATGTGATCAGATAACTGAATATTCTCCTGATGTCACATGCCAGGCGTACCAGTCAACCACAAAGCACAAATGCCAGCAAAGTGAATATCAGCAAGTCCCAGAGACGTAAAGCATTGTCTGCCCTTTTAAAATCTCTCTAGAGCCTCAACCTAGCTTGACTTCTACAATGACTGTAATGGTAGCCCTTAGCTTATTCCATTCTGCACTGCATCTCTTTTTTTTTGTGCCTAAAGATTTGGAAAAATGCAGAGGAAATAGGCACCTGGTGCCCAAATATAAATATTTAAGGTGAAAGTACTTGGGTATTTGATTTAGCACCAGTTCCTCCTCTTTTTCCCTGGAAAGACACACCTTGATATTTCGTATTTGTGAAAAGCAGTCTGTTGAAAACTAAAATGTGTCCAGAGTGAACAATACTTTGGAAAGAACACATTTTAAATAGTTCTACATTCAAAGGACTTTTACAAATATTTCTCTAAGAGACATGATTAATATTTACAAAAATTATCATTATACATTATCACAAACAATTTGATATCTCTAATTTTAAATATGCATTTTAGTAATCAACATCAAATATGATAAATACTAAAATATATGTGTGATGTTGTAACTATTCCAATAGTAAGTTTTCTATCGCTAGTTTCAGAGGAATTCTGTAGGAATGAAGAACAATTATAGCGAGCAAATTTTAGGGGTTTTCTGCTCCATGCAAGAATTCACTTTATCAAAAAGATATATTGCAGCCAAGATATCTATGGGACAATTTGTAAAGTGAATTTTCCCATTGCCTTCTATTTTGTTAATCCACCAGAGACCTGTACTTTTCTTAGCTGGGGAACTTTCTTCACCTTAGTAAATAAATCCTAGGTACTTACTCAAGGCACACAGAGATTCAGTAACTTCACCCAGGGGCATGCAGTTAGTTAGTAAGTATAAGAGGTAGTGTATGAACAGATGTCTCCCATTTCTATCTTCTACTAGCCTTTTTCTCTATTTTCTACTCCAGTGCCTGGCACATATAGGCGCATAATAAACGTTTATTGACTGGCTCTCAGAGAGTGGTCAGGTGACTCCTAGGAGTCCCTAAAACTCTTTTAGGGGCTTTCAGGGTCAAAAATATTTCCATAATACCAAGATTTTATTTCTAACATGACAAATATCAATAGATATAACCCATATAGACAAAAGCTCTTGGGGGAGAGGGCATCCTCAATAATTTTTAAGAGTGTAAAAGAGTTCTACTCCAAGCTGCCTCTATGGTCAGGAATGTTTCTTAATGGGAAGGAAGGAAGAATGGAGGGAATATGCATTATGTAACACCTACTGTGTGCCAGACACTGTGCTAAGTATTTTGAGGTGGAGGTGGGGGGTGAAAAAACTGATAAGGAAGGAGTTAAGATTGTAGTTAGGCCCTTGACATACATTATTACCTGCAGGTTTTAAAAGCCCCTTGGGACTGATCAATCTCCATCATCCCAGCCCCAAAGTCCCCCAAAGAAAGATGCCACAATAAACACAAGCTTCTTCCTACCTTTGCTCCCCCAGTCAGAAGCTTGATATGGGACTTGTCCTTCCATCCATCACTGCTACCACATCCATCACAGGGTGAGAAGCCTCAAAGCTTAGAATTATTTATTAATAAATTCTAACTTCAACCATTATTCCATAAATAATCCCCCCCACTCTGCCCATGTGCTTATTAAGAAAATTTCATAAAATAAAGAAGCACTCTTAGAGAGGTTGCCTGTAGACCCTCTGTTATTTCTGGAGGAAAGATAAACATTAAGATTTGTTCTTCCTATCAACCTAGAAAGCATAAGGGCCTTCCCCGCAAGGTATTTATGAGCTTTCAGAAAGTTTTTCCTTCAACAATTTTCTTTTAACACACTATTGACCTCAGTTAAACGCAAACAGCATAACATTCCATAATATCCCATCACATTATATGTCCTGCCTCTGACTCACAGTGTGAATATAATCCTGGGATAGTCATTTTACCTCTAGGTACTAAGTTGCTAAACTTAGAAAAGGTGTCAACCTGAATTGGTAGAGGGAGTTTCCACCTTCGGGAGGTTCCTATTAGCACAGTGCCTGGCACTGTGTGGTAAGCATTTCATAAAGTGCTTGGTTCTTTCCTTCCTATACCAATGAAGTTACAGGTTTGGTTTTTCTCTCCACAATCAATTGCCACTTGATAGAAGATCTAAGGAAATGGTGACAGGTCAGAAATATGAGGAACAAGAGAGAGCAGGATTCTGTAGGACGCCAGCTCTGCAGGGCTTCTGGGAAATGAGAGGGAAAGGTACCGTTGTGGAACCACAAGGAAGAAGAATCATTAAGTCATCAGTCTGTAGTTGGATGGTACCTTAGAGAGTCTAACATGCTCCTTTTACAAAGGCTAAATGACTTAAGTCACAGCTAGAGAGTGACTCCAAATTAAACTTCAACATTTTGCCCAAGGTCTATAATAGAAACATGAGTAAAAAGTTTCAATGTCAGCAATGTGCAGAGACACGAGGCAATTGCATCTTAGTGGAGTCATTTTGTAGCAACTATTACATTGATTGCAATCAATCATTTAATAAGCATTTTTGAATCACCTACTGCGTACCTCCTGTGACACTCCTGGGTAAACAAAGACAAAAATGAAATCATCCCTGTCCTCAAATTGTTTACCTTTCATTGGAGGAGCCAATATGTACATATATAAATATATACACAATAAATATAAGATGACTTAGAGTAGAAAGTACTAGCAACTGAGGGGATTAGGGAAGGCCTCCTGTAGGAAGCGGCTTTTGAGTTCAGCTTTGAAGTAAAAAGTAGGAGTGTGTTCTATGAGTGGGGAATAAGGAATGGAAGGAAGGAGGGAGGGAGGGAAGGAAGGAAAGAGGAAAGGAGGAAAGAAGGAGGGAGAAAGGAAGGAGGAAAGAAAG